ATCTAGTCTGAAGGGGTCTGTGCGGTCACTGACCTGCTCGCTTGCTCACTCAGCAAATTTACTCGCTCACTCAGCAAGTGCCATAAAGGTGACACTGCATGTCAGGTTCTGTGTTTGGGGCTGCAGCCGCGAACGAGACAGATTTGATCTCTGCCTCAAGGCGCTCACATTCCAGTGGGGAGATGTATCAAAATAATAACTGTGACACATGTCAAAACAGCAACTGTGAGTCAGGCTGAGAATCAATGGCAATGGAATTGGGGATGACATTCTAAGCCCCTAACACATGCCTAAGACCTGCACATCCTCATCAAGTCTGGGGCCAGGAGGCGGACAGCTTCCATTAGCAGCAGGATGGTGGTTGGGAAAGAACCCCAAGCTCCCAAGCACCCTGCTTCCTGGACAATGAGAATGCAGAGGATGTAATCAAGGTTTACCACCACAGTACCCCTTGGAAAACTGAAGAAAGCCATATCCCCCCCGCCGTCCCCCACCATGTACCCATGCCCCAACCACACACACGCAGACTCATGCAGATAACTTGATGGAATACATGACTCCCTGCAGCCCAGGAAGTGCTATCACGTACAGCTGAGAGCCTTTGTGCCTGAGCAGATGCTGCAGCTATATACTGATGTCACTCCTTCCTGAGGTTCAACAGTCACTGAGCCACCAATGAGAAGCCCACAGCAGGGAGGAAGTGTACCTGTAAACACCCCTGGGCCACCACGATGACAGAAGCAGCCCCAGGGACTATGGGAAGGGCATCATGTACAGCCAGATCCTCCTCTGAGGAGACTTTCAGAGGTTAGGAGTGAAGCCGTGAAAATCTAGTGGGCGTCAGCCAAGCCAAGTGTGGGACAGGAGCATTCCAGGAGAGAAAAGCATGCGAGTAAGAGCTGCCCACAGGAAACAGCACGCTGTGCAGGGCATGACGCACAGCCTGCCGCTGTGAAGTGTTCAGTGGGCAGAGGGCTAGTGAGGGGGCGGAAGAGGGTGGCGTGGGCAAAAGGAGCCCATGTGGATCCTGGAAGGGGGATCAGACATTCACTGCTGGCCTGTGTGGAGGACATATTTAGAAGAAGCAGACTGGGGACAGCCTCAATGTTAGTAAAACATTGACTCTCTACCTTGTGGTTACGGTGATTTTTTCAAAAAAAGAAAACGACAAAAAATAAAAATAAAAAATCTGCAGCCCATTAACAAACCTACCTAAGTTACTGAGATTTTAAGGCCACATCAGTCGGGTTTAGCGATGAGACTCTGAGGGTACTGCCCAAAGCACCTTTTACAACACGGGGGAGCAATGATGACAGACTCCCAGCCCAGCGACTTCCAGTTCCAAGATCTTCTTACAGGCCTGTGAAGAACTAACTTGTGGAAGATGTGCTCGCTAGACTCTGAATTCTACAATTTTTAATGATTGTTGGCTGAAATAAGTATTAATATTTATCAAACAGCATCTTCAGCTAGAATTTTTCTCAAAAGAGACATCTTTCTGAGAAATAAAAGACAAAAAATAATCCAGGAAAGAAAAAAATTACGATGAGTGTGCCAAGAAATCTCTGTGAACGCTAATTTTAAGTTTTAAAGGCAAACCAGTCTGAGACAGTTTAATCTGACAAAGTCTGAGCGCCCCCTGATGGTTAATCCGGGGCCCTACAGCAGATGTCATTTTTATCTGCATGGGGTCATCTTGTTAACTCCTTCCCTTCAAATAATTAAGCGGTTGTTCTTTCATGCTCCGTACAGAAAAAATAAGGTATGTGGACGTATTATAAGAAATGTGGGATATTTAGGAAGCTGTTAATTTGACAGAATTTAAGGAGAATGCAGATTTGTTAAGCCAGAGACAGAAACAGGCTATTACATGAGGACATAAAGGACTTACAGGAAAACTCATTTTTACTTCACTGGACTGCTGGTGCCTTGTGATCTTTATACTGTTCCCTGTGGAAAATGGCACCGCGACTAGGCAAGCAAAAAACAATGCTACCCACCCACTGGGGCATCAGCTGCAGGCTGTCGCCCTCCGCTGGCCACTCCCGTGGCTTCAGGGCTGGCACAGAATGCCACCCATGGCGTGCGGCCGGAGGGCCCTGCCAGGATGTGGCGGCTGGGTGACTTCTGCTACCTTTTTCCCAGGCAATGATGTTGCAAGCACACATCCTTTTTTTTCGGTAAAATGTTGTCTAGACCCAACAGTAAGCTGAAGTTACACGGCAGGCTGTTAAAATAACTCTCCATTGGCTAAGCAGAGGCAAGAGAGTGCAAACTGCTTCCTGGGGAAGGTAAGGCAAGACAATGTTTGCCGAGGAGAGGAAGCTCTGGCATGCACCCCTGAACAAAAGGGAACAAGTGGTCTTTACGCGCAGAACAGCTTCCTATTAGGACTCACTCCTTCGTACATTATGCCTTTCATCACCACTCAACCACAAAATGATTTTGCTGAAGCAAATACAATGGTAGAAAAAGATTTACACTGAAAGAATCTTTAATAATAAACTGTTGCAGATCTGCCTCCTTGCCCATGATTTATAATACAATAAACGCCGGATTCTATTACGGCTCATGCACTGAAGCCACTGCTCTGAAAAATGGAATAGGGAGGCACTGGACCCACCACCATCACAATAAAACGAGCAGGTATAAATGTGCTAAGAGTATCTCTTTGCATCTTTTATAGCTTGTGTGTATTAATCTGTAACGCTTATTAAGAAAGTCATTGCTATGCAAAGCAGCACCCAATCTCTTTTGCTGGCTTTTCAACAGAGTGCACTGTTTAGCCAATAGGAGGGACCCTCTGGCCCTCATTCTGCATTCATCACAGGCAACATTTGCACAATGTATCTCTCAAAGGCGGCTGAAAAGAAGGCCTTAATACTCATGTAAACAACTGCAAACCAATTACTTAATGAATCAGGCCCACACATAATGAGGTGCAGACAAAGAGCTATAAATGCATTTTTGCACCCAAGCCGCTGCTTTAAAGTAAAATCCCTCAGCTGTAGTTTGGGCTTAACTAGCACATCATAATTATTGTCTCCAGGACATCAGAGGAAGCCATTTTTTTTTTAGGTCCAGCAAGGTCTTTTTTTCTGAGCTTGCTCATCAGCTCACTGACAAAATAGAGCAAAGAAGAGTTTCTAAAAGTGTTACAGCAGCACTGCCTGTTACGTTTATTCTCAAGTACTGGGTTTCGAGACCACTTGTAAAAGCAATAAAGCACAAGGAGTGACTGCAGTAAGTGGGATCCTTAACTGTAAGCCTCTAAGAAATTTCAGTGCATCCAGGCACAAACAGGAAAACCGGAGCTCTCCAAAGCTCAGGGTGGCGTATTAACAACCCCACGCCCAGCACAAGAACCTAACCGTGACAAGACGCCACACCAAACCCACTCGCTCAACGTCCAGACCTTGTCATCACTGGATTATTATCAAGTGGCTAGAACCAAGGGTTCCTGAAAGGTCTTTTTTTTTACAAAAAAAAAAAAAAAAAACGGGCTGATGAGATTACTTGTAATGTATTTAGGAAATTAACTTCATGCTGAAACAGTAGTAAAAACAAAAAGGCCCCACCTCAAACTGAAGGGGAAAAAAGCTTGATTTCAGTTTAGTGAAATATAGATACAATTGTGAAATTATCAGGTTGAGAAAATGTTCTACAAAATCCAACTGCTTTCTGAATGTATTTAACAATTGCCCAAAGAACATATACAAAGAAAAGTTTATGAACTAGGTTTCTTAATGCCTCTAAAATATAATGGAAACAAAACAAACAGAAAAACACTTCTAATAATCTTTAAGCACTAAAGAAATGTATTATTAAGCCAAATAGTAACATTAAACCCTAAAAACTATATGTAGACTTTATTGTCTTTTAAAATTTCTTACAGAAGACCTAGGACTTGAACTTACAGTATAATCATAAAAATATAATACTTTAAAACTCTTCCTGTCCCATAATTCATTATCTCCCACTTCCTTTAAAATTATGGATGAATACTCAGGTATTGAGACAACAATTCCTGATAATTAAATGAGCAATTCCCTATCACCAAACTTGTCAGGTTTCTAAAAAGGAAAGATTTGATCTAAAAAATCTTACATTAAGGTCCTAAAAACACGGTAATAAATACAAATGAAACACAATTTTTCATCTTAGAAATATTTCTAGATCAAATTGTTTTATCTTACAGGATATTATATAGGATATTATACATTAAAGTTCCTGTTTTAAAATTTCACTTAGGGTAAGTAGTTAATTCAAATGTAATATGATCCTCTTAAGGACATCTTTTTAATGAGAAATGGTATTACAAGAGGAAACTTGCTGTGGTGTTTTAAATGATATTTAGCCCAAAGCAAAAAGGTAGGTATTTCATCAGACGAATGCTTGGTCCCACCTATAAACTCCTGACGACAAATTCAAGACACAACTCACTTATTGCTCAGAAAACTTACAAGAAGTGCTACAGTTTAACAAACTGAAAAGATAAATTCTGCTCTTTGGGGAAAATAAGTAAGAAAGCAGCAGAAAAAGAATTATCTAGTCTAAATACTTGGTTTAAAAAAAGGAATACAAAAATGTATATCCAGCAATTGCTAGTTTATCTATCAGCTGTCTTAGAAAGAAGAAACACGCCACGTTACTTCTTTTAAGGCCTGATGTTTTCTCTCTGCCCTTTTCCTGACAGCTTCCATTGTGTGGTCTCTAAGCAGTCCTACTGCGAGCAGCTGTAGATGCTAATTTGTGGTTCACTGAGGTGTCAACTGAGTCTTAAACCAGGGAAACAACAGCTGCAAAACAATACTTGGCTCTGGTGCAAATATTTTCAAAGGTACACTAAAGTTTCAACCTTTATTTCAGATAAACAAAAACCCAAACCACAACCCTCCATCAAGTCACACAACAAAATAATATGCAGCCAGAGTTTAATGCATTGCGTAATGACATTTTTCATCTTGTGGCCGCTACTGAGAAAGGCTTTCACGACTTACCTTGACAAAGGACTTCCTTCGCTAGATGAAAAATTCGCTTCCGAAGCGATTTTGTTAGTTGTCTTTGTCTTGAATGTGCCACTGCCAACATTCAAACCTGTGATGAGCAGAAACACAGAGAGTGAGCCACGCAGCAGTGAAGCGCGATGGAGGACGACCCGGCCTCACAGCAACTTTAGTAAAACAAGCGCCAATGGGGAAAGATGCTGCTCGAGCCACAGAAGGCAAGGGAGCCTTGGAGGCAAAGAATGGCGTGCTGTAGAATACTGAAAGGAAGTCACAGAAGTTAAAAAATAAAATCAACCGAAAAACTCTGCTTTAAATGACCAAGATGCATGTGTAAGCAGACAGGTCTTACATCGCTATAACACAGGGGCAGCAGGGAGCCCCAGGTCACACGGTTGCCAGGAACCGGATTCTCAGAAATAATGGACACCTCTGGATGACAGTTACCTACCCCACCCGCCCTCAAGGTCCTCTGCCAAATCCTCTATTTTCCATTTCGCAGAGGAGGCTGAATCCCCACTGACAACCATCAAGGCCCCTCTTTAGCCAGCCTGGAAAGGTCGGTGAGGAGAATGCACAACAGGACACTCTTCCTGAAGCTGGGTCAACTGGACCGTCCCCACGGTGCGCCCGGTGGCAGGGGAATCCCTAACCTCGGTCTCCTCAGCCTTGGTGTTTCTGCTGTGGTTCTTGTTCTTAAGTGGTTACCGGGGATCATGAATGGAGACTGTACAGGTATCTTTGTCAACGGCATTTGCTGAGTTTCTAACCTGTAACCTGCTTGCCTGCATGTAACCTCTGCAGCAAAACGATTCTCTTAATAAGTTATCCACCATCAGTCCAAAGAGTCTCCACATGCTAAACAGAACAAGGTCTTTTCAGACATGAAAACGAAGGCACAATGTTTAAGTGGCTGTCCTTAGTGACGGGACCAGAGACCTAAGACATCTGAGGCAGAAAGTAACTGAAACGTGCGCTTCTTCAACAGCTAGATTGAGGGTTGTGAGCATCTGTCCCCACCACCACCTGTACATAACAGTGCTGTGAAGTTCTGGCCACCTCAGTTTCCTGTTAAATCTCCTCATGCCTTGAACCTGTCTGATTAACTATCCACATAGATCTGTGGTGCTGCCCTGCAAACCGTTGTGTGTGCCCACCACCTGCCATCATGCTCTTCCAGAGGCACTACTCCCTCGGGGCCTCATGTATAAAACGAGGCAGTTGGATAAATACTTTCTAAGATCCCCCTGGACTCTTAATTCTGTGGCTCCAGTGTGAAGAAGGTGATGAAAAGCAAACAGTCAAGTTCCACAATGTTACATCTTTCCAAAGGATGACCATCTCCACTAGGGCAGAGGCCCCGTTTTAAAATCACCTCCACCACAGCAGTCAACCAAAGCCGGTGCTGAACACTTACCCTCAAAGTAACCAAAATAACTGAGTTTGCAGCAGTCAACTCGGACACTAATATTGTCTAGTTCTCCAAAGACAGACAGCTAAGATCCATGCACTATTAGTATGTCCCTCAAATAGATGTCTGTTGGAAGAAGACAACCTTGAGAAAAGTGGGAAATCTGAATGTGATATTAAGAAATCACTGTTAACTCTGATAGGTGAAATTGCTGCATGGTGGCTATAAAAAGAAAGTCATTAAAAATGCATTTCTTTCTGTATTAGTTCATTGTTAATTCACCTTGACAAATGGGGCTGAGGTGACTTACACTAAGACAAACAAAACAAACAGGTGTAATAAAATGAAAACCACTGAAAGTCATAGCAAAAATATAACAGTAAAATATAAGAAGACCAAGAAAATTATAATGAAAACAAAAATTCTACACTGAAGAAACCACATTTAAGTTTAAAATTTAGCTGTCCTGGATTTTACAGTCTTTATTTCAAGAACTCAAAATGGCCCAACACTCCATCGAGGGAGGGAAGCCCAGCATGGCACTCCCCGTTTGATTATGAAACTGGGAGACGTGGGGAGGATGAGGAGTTTGGGGTGACTCCTGTGGCACTTAAGACAAGTGGCTACTGTGACATACAAGGGGGACTGAGCGGCTTGTAAGGGCCACCTGCCATGCCTGGTACAGCAGAGACCCAGGAGGGAAGGCTCTTTCATCCCCACCCCAACCCATTCCATTAAGTATGAAAAGGGACTGGCTCATTCTGACCTGGTGACAGCTTGTTACAAAGCAAACTCCAGAACCCTTCAGACAGTGGCCTCCTTCCCTGAACACAGACAGCCCTGGCTCCACTGCCCCGACTCCACTGCCCCGACCCCACTGCCCCGACCCCACTGCCCCGGCCCCACTGCCCCGGCCCCACTGCCCCGGCCCCACTGCCCCGGCCCCACTGCCCTGGCTCCACTGCCCTGACTCCTGGCCCCACTGCCCTGGCCCCACTGCCCTGACTCCACTGCCCTGACTCCTGGCCCCACTGCCCTGGCCCCACTGCCCTGGCTGCCTGAACACAGGCTTCAAGTGTTTTCCACCCTCTGCCTTTACTTACCTGACAACTGTGATGTGGAAACACCTGCTTTGTGGAATCTGTCTTCAGTCTGGTGTGTATTATCCTGAAGGGTAGACCGCTTCAGCAACTGGTAGGCTTTTGTTTCTTTACATTAAAAAAGACAGAGAAATACTGAATTTTCTACTGCCCAGAGAGAAGTTTCTTAGATTCTTCCTACTAGGTTGGCACTTTTCAAACGTAGGCAGATCAGTTTTTTGAACTGTCAGTTTTCAGAAAGTCTAAAAAACACAGCCAACCAAAATCAATTTAGGTGAATTCAGGTTTCAAGACTCAAAGACAAGTCGTCTGAGTTTATTTCAGGTGGCTGAATTCCAGCCACTATTTTGAGTGGTTTGTGGCTAGTTCAACAGCCCAAGTCAGCCATTTCTCACTACTCCAGTCACCGCGGGAGTGGCTGCAGAAATGAACTGGGACAGCACAGGCTTCCAGAGGCAGCAAGTCCCGCTGGAGAGCTCCCACCCTGGCTCTCAGGGCTCAAATCTGAGTGTGGGGGCCCTGGGAGAGGCTGGGGAAGGGTCAGAAGGGCAGTGGCGGCAGGATGGCTGAGTCCCACAGCTGAGAAACTTTCACCAAGGCTTGTCGTGGGGCGGGAGAGGGAGAGGTCGAGGGAGCAAACGCAGGCGCCCGGAGTGATCGCAGTGGCCTGAACCCGGCTGGGTTCCGCACAACGCCCTTGGCTGTGCAAGGCTTCTTAGCTTCTTATGCTGTAGGTTAGCTTGGGAAAGACTGCTGGGAGAAACAGCAAATAATTATGCAAAGGGCCCAAGGGACACAACCTTCCCCATGACCTCCAGACTCAAGGGTACCTGGAGATGCAGGGCAGAGAACAAGAACTTGGCATAGACAGACCAAAACAGCTTCCTGCTGCATACGGCCCTCAGCCCCTACATCCACATTTTCACTGTGGCATAAAAAGCATTCCTGCCGTCAGCGTCAGGGGCAGGCAATCAGCTGCACTGCTGGCTTTTTGCTGGCTCAATTCAAGAACTCAACCAAGAGCTCCTTATTACTGGATTAAAACAAGCATCACACTGAAGAATAAAAATGTAACTTATCTCATCCTACTGAGAATCTATCAAGATAAAAAAGTTAAAATAAGCATCATACTTTGGAATGTTAAATGTCATATAATTAAAATATGTACAGACCAGGAACTCTCAACCCTGAAGAGAACAGATTCCGAGGCAACATTTTTGTTTTTTAACATTGCTGGATTGTGAAATCACTTTGGTGGGCTGGAACTAGTATTTTTAAAAATTTAATAAAGAAAATATCAGATGCAGTGCACGCAGTAAGGGAAAGTATTATTTTGTGTAATTTCTGTGTGTGTGAGTCAAGTACTGGCCTGGGATATAAAAACAGTTCCTGCTATACTGTCCTACAGTGGCACTGAATACTCTCCAAATAATCATCCCAACGTCTGTATTACTTCAGGTTTGTCTTTATTCCAGTATTGCATGCTGTCTGGTAATTTCAGGAGGAAGAAGATGTTGATAAGATTAAACACAGAATGTATGAATTCTAAAAAAGGTAAAGAATCACTGTAAAAAAGGTCAAAATGCTCTGTTTTGTTTTTATTTTATAAAGATCAACCAAAAATGTTTCCAGCTTTTAGGATACAAGTCCCGATTTTAATGACTGTATGCTATTTCTGCAGTCAAGGTCAGGGAAAAGACAGCAAACACAGAAATTAAAAAAAAAAATGAAACAAAACAAAAAAGGGAGCCAACTTCCTGATAAGCACAGACCCCCAGCCCCTGGAGCTGGAGCGGTGGCTGCAATTCTTCCACGTCTATTATCTTAGGGTGGAGGAAACTGGACTCCAGTGGGCTTGCTCTCCTGCTTCTCAGAAGCCAGGAAAACACATGCCATTTCCTTTCAGGAGAGGATCTCTGTGAGAAATACCAAGTTAACAGTGGTGAGGTAATTTCAGGTTTGCGGGGATTGAGTATTCTGCTCAAATACAAGACAGTACTGATACTATTACTGGTCTGAGTCCAGCAAGGGAGGGAATTCACTCTTAGCAGCAAGAGAATCACTGTATCACTCTGGCAAAGACAGGTTATTTCCACATCCCACATACTTTACATTTTGGTGTCTTCCCTTCCTTCCTGAGGATGTGAGATCTGCAACTGGACTGGGTGCTTTCCCTTCTCAGCTGTCCCGAACCAGCTACACAGAGGCCTTGGAGGGAGATGGCCCATCTCTCCTGTCCTGTTCAACCAGAGCCAGCCCCCTTCCCAGCCACGGCTCCTCCCCGACCTTTGAGCCTCAAACCTGTGGCCCTTCTCTAAACTGAAAGTTACTGAAGCCACCTGGACAGTTTTTATCTGGGATGCAGCTGTCTCGACTAGAGCGATAAAACTGAGGACTGTTGGACACATCACCTGCCCCCACCTCTGATCATGCTGCCCCCACAACGGCTTAATGCCAAAGTGAAGTTTAAAAGGTAAGATGACGTTCATTCCCTTGGAGGAATCAATACTAACTGAGGCAGGGCCAGAGACACCAAAGCCGCCCGAGAGGCTAGAGCTGGCATCATGTGCTGCTGCCCAACAACAGGGGACCAGCACTGAGGGTCAGCACAGGCCATAACTGGGGTCATTCCCCCACGGCATGTGTCATGCCCTTAAACCAAAACTAAACGCACTGCCGTCAAGTCGATTCTGACTCATAGCGACTCTATAGGACAGAGTAAAACTGCCCCATAGGGTTTCCAAGGCTGTAGTCTGTGTAATCTTTATGGAAGCAGACTGCCACATCTTCCTCCTGTGGGGCAGCTGGTGGGTTCCAACTGCAGACCTTTCGGTTAGCAACCAAGCGCTTAACCACTGTGCCACCAGGGCTCTGTCATACACTTACTCGCCCGATTCTAGTCAGAGGAGCTAGACAGGCAACATATGGAGGGCTGGGGGATGGTTCAAGTAGAAAGAACAAAATTAATAAGATTTGATTTTAAAAAATTAGGAAGTGGAAGGATACAGAGCCTGCATAGAAATATAGCTGAAGAAGGGACTGAGGGGTTCAAGTAGATACATACTGAATATAAAGACGGGAAAGGTCGGGGCTCATAAATATAGACACTTCCTGGGGCCTAGCAGGTACTACAAACAAGCAACCAGGTGGCAGCCAGTAGGAAGGCTGGGGAACATGTACCCGTCCACCCGCAACAGCTGTTCCTTGGCTACAGCCAATTGCTGCCAGGCGGGAAGGTGGGCCCAGGCTTGCCAGACTTCTATCATTTTTTTTTTTTTAAATAAAACACTGCACAAGCCAAACAGAATACATTTGCAGTCTCAAAATTAGACGGGGATGGCACTTTTTTCTGTGTTCACTAAAAGTGGCACAAGAACATTTAGGTAAAACTGCAACCAAAGGATATAAGCTAGACATTAGGAAAGCTTTCTCACTGAAAGGGTTGAGAGACACTGCCACATATTATCAAAGGTGGTTGCAACAGCTGTATGAAGATTTTTAAGTAGCTATCTGTATCAACAGGAGCCCTGGTGACGCAGTGGTTGAGAGCTCAGCTGCTAACCAAAAGGTCAGCAGTTTGAATCCACCAGCCACTCCTTGGGAACCCTATGGGGCAGTATTATTCTGTCCTATAGGGTCTCTATATGAGTTGGAATCGACTCAAGGGCAGTGTGTTTGGTTTTTGGTTTGGTTATCTGTATCAAATGGACCAGATCTCAGATTCTTTGGCGGTTAAGAGTGTATACCCTTTGCTGGGTCCTCAAAGGGGCCCTGCTAGTGCTGTGCTTAAGCGCTCACCTGCGACCAGGAAGGTCGCCAGTTTGAACACACCAGCTGCTCGGCAGGAGAAAGACGTGGCAATCTGCTTCCGTAAAGGTTACAGCCTTGGAAACCTGAAGGGGCGGTTTTACCCTGTCCTATATGGTCACTGTGAGTTGGAATCAACAAGACAGCACACAACAACAACGTGGGTCCTCCAACAATTAAGACACCCTCCTCAAACGGCCTAAAAAAGACCTGGTTAGGATGCCAACTTCATGCAGCAAAAAGGGAAGGCTGTGCACACGAGGTCTGTGGCAACTCAGGCGCAGGCTTTCCGGAAGGAAGAAGGAAAGTGAAGATGCAAGTGGTTAAAAGCTGCAGTGTTGCCCTGAAAATTCATGGTTATTAGATGAACAAATGAACAAAGGAGCAAAAGCATTAATTCTAGAAGTTCAGGTTAGCCTGCCATGAACACGGCAGGGACAAGGCTCACGTATTTCCAAGGAGGAAAGAATTTAGCCTTCTTATCTGCAAGTAAATCACAGACTGAAAACTCAAAGACCGCGTGGCCCCTGAAGTCGTCACTTTTATAGCCTGTGACTTAATACCTTGAACTCTAGAGAAACACTCCCTCCCATCAGTAATGCCAAACTCTCAGAAAATCACTGAGCAGTGAAAATAATTAGATAAAACTAACTTTCTAAAGAACACGAGTATTTTCAGTTAGAATGTTCTGGCACACACAGAAACAAACATGCGTGCATCCTCAAGCTTTCAGCTTCAGATCTTTCAGTCAGGCATCTATTATATAAATGTACACAGATATATATAGATAATGTGTCAACATTTAGTTTAAAAAGCAGAAAATTTTACAGTCTAAAACATAAAATAAGGCAAGGGGTCCCATCTCGTGTAGGATCCAGCTCAGGAGGTTAAAAATGTATCCTTGCCTATTAATTTCAGGCTGATGACACAATGAGATAAATATATTTTTCCCTACTTTGTTACATAAGCTGCTCAAACCTAATCATCTATCTCTGCAAAGTGGTGAAGGATCACTGAGATTGTTTCCTTTTTTTTCTTTATTTCGATACGCATTTTGTGTCTAGAAAATGGAAACAGCTAGAGAAAGAATGAGAAAACACGCTGGATCCAGGGAGAGAGAAGGGAGATGAGCTGAGGGGAGGAGAAAGGAAAGCTCAGCTTCTTGTCTTTTATTCTCTTTTACATGCAAATGTACACCTGCTAAAATACTTCCAGATCCACAGATAAAAAAGAAAAATATCTCATGAACAAGTGCTTTAAACCACCCATAACAAGACCCACATAAACGTATGATTCACTGT